CGTTTCCCAACCTGAAGCTCTCCCTCCCACCAACCACTGGGATTCTTTTTCCTGACGCCAATCAGCTGGCCAAGAGACAAACTCAGCTGCTCTGCACTTGTTGCTGTGTACGGGGCAATGACTCGTGCTATCTCTGTCAAGCAAAGCAATCAAAATAATCGTTAGTCTTGTCATCTTTACACATTGTGCTTAAAAATTACCAAGAAATTAAATTTGGAAACCAACTAGAGAAACAAACCCCGATGAAACCCACATCTGCTGGAGATTTCACAAGGAACATTCCAGATTCCTCCACAATTATACACTTTGCTGACACCCAATGCTTTCTTTGTGCTTTAACTTTCAAGGGTTATCAATCTCACATGCAAATGTTATGGTTGGGCTTTATCTTCCTCAATCCTGAAAGATCTTTTAAGTCTCAAGGGGAATTTGAAATCATCTCAAAAGTTATGAGAACCAAGCATGCAACTTAGATTTTGACAAAAAACGAGGAAATTCCAATGTTTACAAGAATTTGTAGTGTTGTTCCATTTTCAATGGCAGGAGTGTGAAGAGAAAACAAGGAAATCAGCTGATCCGAGGAAAAGTTGCATGCCTGGAGAACTGTCTGTAGTTACCTGGTTTGCGGGTAAGTGACGATGTCTTAGCTGTCTCGTCTGGTGTCACGGCAACAGCTGGAGTGGTTGGCATGGTTACTGGTTTGTCTCCTCCTTCCTTAGGAGTGACATAATTGGCTGGAAATATCCCTTCCTGATCTCCAAGCTTGCCCGTCCACCAATCCCCCTCCTTTTTAGTTACAACGATAGTCACGCCGGCTTCAAAGGTCAGATCACCGGGCTGGTCTGACGAGTAAGGAAACTTCGTAACCACCTCATCGATAGACAGGTGACTGGGTGGTTCCAGCGAGTTGATTACTGGTTCTGTTGCTTGGACTTGGGCGCTGCTCTTAGGCTGAGCACAATTGGCTGGAAAGATGCCTTGACGGTCCCCAATTGTCCCTGTTAACCATTCACCATCCTTCTTAGTAACTGTAACTGTCTCACCAGCTGTAAACTGCAAATCACCTGCTTCGTCCGAGTTGTAAGGGAATATCGTTACGTATTCTAAGGAAATGAAAAATTTACAATCACTGTAAGAGCTTAATCAAGGAAGTGATAAACACAAGTTCTTGACATCTGTAGACATAGCTGGCAGACATGCTGATATGTCTGTTCAATCAATCTAAACCACTTGTACCTTCACTCTGTTGAGGTTGGGCAGCTCCAGGTGTTGGGGAAATGGCAGGCTTGACAGTGCTGGTAGTTGTCGATGATACATTCCCAAACAGTGATGATGCAATGGCAGCAACAGAGCCAGTTGCTATGGAGACAGACAAACCTGTCGCTGCTGCAGGAGCTGGTTTGCTACGACAGGAATTGGGAGACAATTATAATTCATTACTGAATAATGATCAAAGGATTTCGACAGCCATTAATCCCGACTGGCGAGTACTTCTGAAACCCTCCCAACTCTACAATGTGGATACTAATAAAAAACCCCTGCTTTCCTCACCGGTACTCATTTGACAAGAAGCAATCATGGTAAAGTGACTTGCTTAAGAACAACCGTCTCGTGCAAAGTAACAGTGGCTGGAAAATCTACCAAATTTCCAGGAGGGCATGGTCTGATGTGTAACGGTTCAGATTGATACAAACTTTGTAAACCTTATCACAATTTCATGAGGAAAATCAACCTTTCTTTGGGTTTACTTACTTTCCATTTCATTGATACAAACTTTGTAAACCTTATCACAATTTCATGAGGAAAATTAATTAATCTTTGGGTTTACTTACTTTCAATTTCATCAGGAAAATTAAGCTTTCTTTGGGAATACTTACTCTTCAGGTAGTTGCTTGACTTGAGTCTTGGGGAACCATCCTTGTTTGCCGTTCAACTCACCAAGCCACCACAAATCTTGTTGCTCCTTTACAGTCAAGATGTCTCCCTTCTGGAAGGACAGGTGATTGTCCTTCTTAGCTTCCCAGTCATACAAGGCTTCAGCCTTCACACCGTCTTGCAGTATCTTGCCCTGAGAACAGACAAGGAACAAAGCCAGATGCCAACCCAGGACTGAGCATCCATTTATACCAGAAAGCAAGACCACTGCTGTGACTGACAGACAGCATGACGTACAGAGAAGCTAGGCAGAAATTCATGTATTTTGGAAATAGCTTTGTATCATAACCACCTTAGAGAAATTGAAAAGAATTCTCGTCAGGATGAAAACTGAAATGGCTTTGCTTAGTTTTTCAGCGAGATTAAGACATACATGTTGGAGGCCACTGCTCTTTCTTTGCCTTCAAGTTTTCTCTTTGCAAATTTCTGATGCTCTTGCATATCTAGTTACTCTGGGTAAAGGCTCTGACAAGGGAATACAAAGGGTTTGTTGCGTGAGCATAGAGCCGAGAAAGATGGGTCGCTCAATCCTCAACTGTCAACCTCAAACACTTCTGTATTTCACCACTGAGACCGGGCTTGTGCAAGGAGCGTCCTTAGGCTAGGGCTACCTGTCCTGGTGTTGGTGTTGGTGACGGGGCTGGCTGGGTCGCCACTGGGGTGAAAGGCGAGGATTTGAAAGGCTGACTGAATGCCGAGGAAGCTGGCGCTGATTCAGTGGAAGATGTCGTTTCTGGTTTAATGACATCTGTCCTGGAAAATCAAAACACAAAGAACAAAAAATACTGGATCAAACTGGCTCAATACAAATCTGACCACTAATCTCATTGTGGGACCACAGGTGAAATAATTTGGTCCTGATGGAGCAAAGACTTACTGGCTGGTACTACTTGAATTGCTGAAGCTGGCCCAACCAAGGTCATTAGTGGGTTTGACCTCTTCGTCATCTATTCTCTCGGCGTAGTTCTCTGGAAACCATCCTGTCTTACCATTTAGTTCTCCTCCCAACCATCCAGGTTCAGCATTCTCACTTTTACCAACCTGTCAAGATTAATTCAATTTCCCAAGTTGAAGTTACTATCATGAAGCGACTTGTGAAGTTGTCGTGACAATTACTTCATCTTTAATAAGGATCTTAAAGTAAGCTAAAAAGACTTCCTCCTCCTCAAATGTCTATTCAGCATTAGAATGAATAATATTTCTTTGACAGGAATAATTAAAACGCATAAGCTTTCTCTTTCAAAGTCTCACCATGACGATATCTCCTGGGTTGATTGTCAATTCTTCAGGAGTTTCTGCTTGAAATGGATATAATGCCCTGTAGCGCATGAAGAGTACACCTGAGGTCTTGATCACCGGTGATTTGGTCGGTACCCCACTGTCATGGTTAACACTGGGCTTGGGTGCAGTAACCGGTGGCTTCTCCGCTTTGGTGGTCTGTGCAGTGGTGGCACTGACTGTAGACGTCAAGGGGGTGACATCCGTGGACGGCTGTAATGGTTTGGGGGTTGGTGCTGGTGCTGGGGCTGGCTTGGGGGCTGGTTTGGGGGCTACACTGGGCTGCGATGTCGGCTTTGGAGCCTCCTTGGTTGAGCCGAAATCAAACGTGGCATTTGAAAAATCTGAAGTCAAACATCAACATCCACACCGACTTAATTTTTGTTGCGTGACTAGGTGACAGCGGATTTGGTTTTAATGCACTCTATACGATTGTCCGATTTGACATTCAACATTTCTGGAGAAAATAAACTGTAGTAGTTAGTGATAGATCCACTGGAGCACATCTCCATTGAAGACTAAGGACGGTCTGATGAGAACCAGTGAGTAAATTACTCAACGTTGCCATCCAAATGGTCTTCTCTTTGCAATGTAGGTGCTAGATTTGGACATATTCACACTTACTACCTGGGGTAAGGATTAACATCAGGAAAGCTGAGTCACGTTCATCAAGTCTTCAGTAACTTTGTAGACACGTATGCAAGATTTTTTGGAGTCATAAAACTGGAAGTATTAAGACACTAATGATTCAACAACTGACAGTACCTGCAAATGCTCCGAAAGGGTCCTCCTTGTCAGTGGAAGCTTTGGTGGCAGCTGTGGGTCCTGTGTTGAGATTAATGAAAAAATTGTCAGAAAAAAAGGACAAAATAGACTAAAGAAATTGACCAAAAACAATTATCCTCTGAGACATGTATATTAGAAATAAGATAAGCTTTGTAATGTTTGTTTCGGCTTTGGGATAACCCACCTCAACAGCAACCACCATGTTCTACGTTTTGAAAACCCAACTGATCTGGAAACACTTTCCATATGTTTGATTTTGATACTTACCTGTAAAAGCTGAAAAGGGGTCAGATGGGTCTAATGGTTTGGCTGCGGATGTTTTCTCAACAGCTGAAAGAAAAATCAGACACAACAAACCCATAACTCTAAGATTTCAACTCTACACAGCACTCTATTCCAAGAGACAGAAAAGAACCTTAAATGCAGAATGACTCACAGGCAAGTCTTTGAAGCAACAAGGTCTATTGATCACATGACAATGCAGATCACCCTAATTAAACGACTGAGTCCAATCCAATCTAAAAACAGGTTACCTAAAATCAAACATCCTAAAAAAAAAAACGATGACAGGAAGACATCCTACCTGCAGTGCTTGCGAATGGATCATCAGTACTGCTTCCTGCATGAAAACCACAGAATAATATAATTTCCTGAATAAAACCATTCATTACATATCAGACTGACCTCACAAACTGGATCTCTTTTATCTGCATTAAACGAACAGATGTAACTCTCACCAAAACTAGCAAACAGGTCAATGGAAGGGGCAGCTTGAGCTTTCTTCTTCTTCTCGTCTTCTTGTCTTTTCTTCTCTGCTTCTTGCTCTGCCTTCTGCTGAGCCAGTCGGATCTGCTCCTGCCTTCGTCTCTCCTCTTCTTCCTTTCGTTGATTCTCCTCCCTAGAAAAAAACAAGACAGAAAAATTGTTCATCGTTAGAATTTTAAAGCCCCTGAATTTTGAGGGAAGCATTCGTGACTTAATTTGAAACGGGATGTTGTAATGAGAATTCAGGAATCACTTTCAGAATATCCACAACTTTCCAAGATTTAAGAAAAAATGTCCAAGGCCACTTTACAGTTGAAACTGTCCCCCCGATATGTTTTACAGGAAAACACTGAATCTGTAGGAAGAGGCCGGTAACTAAGGCAACTGACTGGTACTCGGATGTACCTGATCCTTTGCTGTTCTACAGCCAGCTTCATCTTTTGCTCTTTCTCAGCAGCTACTTGCTGCATCCGTCTGTTGTCAACTGCTGCTTGTTGGTGTAGGGTCGTCAAGTGATCAATCTCTGCTTGCTCCTTGGGAATTTGCTCCTTCAGCTCCTAAAACAAAGGAATAAAAGAATTAATCACAAAAAAGAAATTGTCTAGAGTTTTAATTTCTTCTGGTCTTCCTCATATCAATCCATGCCATCCTGTGGCACATATGTCCTGTGACATGTCATTATTTCATGTACTCTATGAAAGTCATTTGAAGTCTTTTAGCTAACCAGCTATTGCATCCAACAAGTCACTCTACTGGAGAATGATTACAAAATAAAGCCAAAGACCAAAATGCCTGTAGGACAGAGAAAGTTAATACTGACAGCTATTTTGGTGTTCTTGGAGTCCACATCTATCAGCGTTGACTCCATAGCACTCTCGTGTTGCTTGAGTTGGTCTCGTAGCCGTTCTACTGTGGTCTTCTTAGTGGTCAAGCTGTGCATGACGGTGCGGTGATTCTCAACTGGGTGAAAAAGATGGAACTAAATGAAACTTAGCACTCCATGATGCGTGAGTTACTCCAGATAAGAGATCAGATTCATGTACAAGGTTCGAATCCCACCCAGGTAGACTTGAGTACTCGTGATTTTTTAATCTTCTCGATGTCTAACAAACGCTTGGCTTGAGAAAACACAGCCTGTAAAACCAGGCTTCCACTTCATATTCTCTTCTAGAACCCATCCAATACAAGGCTATCATGAGCCATTGGTGATACTCACAGACATGACTGTCAATGCCTAATTTCTTGGCCTTATCCGAGATGTCATCTTTCTGTTTATCCAAATTCAGTTTTATTTGCCTTTGCTCCTATAAAGAAAAGGATTCGATGAATTTCACTTGGAAAAAATCATCATTAAAGCAAAGAAAATACAAAATGGTTGTGACAAGCAAAGGATATCTGTAAGTGAGGAAGAATTTTATTGAAAAATGACTACGGTGTCAACATAGTTTTTGGAAAAGTTGTGAAAGACACCTTAATTTGATTCAAAAATGGAAATAATTAGTTGATTACTTATTGGACCAGTTTATTTGTATGATGTCTCTTTGGAAATCTCGTAACAAATGCAATCCTGGAAAATAATGAATTCACTTAGAAATTTACATTTCGAGGTGCCACACGCCCAACGCATGGACAGTACACCTTTAAATTCATGATGGCAAAAATGTGTCACTGGAGGGTTCCGGGAGGGTTCCTGGAAGGTTCCTTAAGGGTTCCTTGAGGGTTTCTGGAAGGTTCCTTGAGGGTTCCTTGAGGGTTTCTGGAGGGCTTGGCTTACCTGGATGGCTTTTTGCAGGCTTTCTATTTCAGCCACTTTGGCATCTCGTGTCTGTCCCATTAAGATGATGGTTGTATGATGCTCAGTCACTATGTTCTTGGTGTCACTAAGTTGCTTGTTTAAACTATTCTTTTTATCCTCCTGAAAGAGCAAAACAAGGAGCAGCATTCAGACAGACTTCTCAAGAAAGGATGAAGACATTCCAAAACCAAAGACAAGTCTTGAGACCAAACTGATTCAATCCAAATCTCACCAAGGTCTCCAGCTCACAGGCCAAGGTCTTGCTCTTGGATTTGAGATGACAGACATCTTCTTGGTGTCGGATTCTCTGAGCTTCCAGCTCTTGACGTCTCTGCCGTTGAATCTCCAGCTGCCGCTGTCTCTCTAACTCACGTCTAGCAGCCTGGAAAGGGGATAATTCATACAGTGCTAATAAGATTGGGTGTTGACTCGGAGGTTAACTGTCTAGAGCCCAGAAAGGACACACGGCTAGCAGTGTAGGGTGCATGTGACTAGATTTCAACGGAATGAGTACAATCACGGCATACACACAGATTTGTGTCAGTGAACAGTGTTGGATGTATGTGACCAACTTTCACCGAAATGAGTACAATTGTGGCATGCACACTTATTTTTTTCAGAGAACAGTGTTGGGTGTATGTGACCAACTTCAATGGAATAAGCACAAACATGTAATTTGGTTTTGTTAGAAAGATACAATTGAACTTGTGTAATAAAAAAGGTTGATGTTTGTATAGAAGGGACAAGTTTGAACGACTCTCAGATTGAAATGTTACCTCCCGCTGTTCAATCATCTTACGTCGTTGTTCCTCCTGCTCTGCTTCCAACTCCCGTTGCCGTGCCAACATCTTGTCAAGCTCCATCTGGCGCCTCCTCTCTTGTTCCATTCTACCAAGGAAGATGTCCATTTTATTTAAAAAAAAAACA